GAGATTAGAAACTAGAAATGCTGTGGGGCGGTTCTGCCTTGGCCTCAGGGTCCCTATTAGATGAAATCAACTCAACAACAGGGGCTTTGGTTTTGTGAGTGCAAAGTGACAGCAGTAACTCAACAGATGAGCTAGGAACCTTCGGGGCAGGAGCTGACACTAACAGAGAGAATGAACTTGAAAAGGAGCATGAGCATGGTTGTACTACTCGAAGGTAACCAATGTCATGGCATTGTACGTGTTGAAAAGGTTGGGTTCATGTATGTTTATTTGTTTCCTATGGATAGTCTCAACAACAAAGTGAAAGTTAAAAACTGCGTTCTCTCAGGTTGCAATTGTAAAAGGATAATTATAGTACTTTTAATTGGAGAACGCAGCATTTCCAAAAATGGTTATGTTGATATCTTCCTTCAATGTTTTCACCTAATCAGATAATTACAGAAATGTCTATCAACACAACTCTTTGAGCTCCCACAGCAAAAGCAAATTGCCATTTTTAAAGACAATTTCCCATTTGGGGGTTCAATTTGTATAATCCTTCGGTTGTTAAATGCCTTTAGCGCTTGGACTAGGAGTTGAGTGAGTGCCAGGGGCTTCGAGGAGGGGAGGAAAAGGGAACTGTCAGGACCCTCAGGGACATTCTGTACAAAGGAATCGATTTGTATCGCTGCGAGGCGGCGACCTGGAGGACAACCTCATGGGTTGGTTCGAAGAAGGACCTGCATGAAGGAGACGGTATTTGAGCAGAGGTTCTCATCTTCTAGGGCTTCGCAAGTGGATCTGAAACGCAAGGCACACAGAATACCCTTCGGAGCAAACTTTGAGGTTGAAGCCTTTTTCCTGCGTGCCCTCCTGCCTTTGCCAACACTCGATAAGTAGTCCTCCTTTCCGACAAGTTCTTCCATCCAAGTTCTATCAAGTAGAATCATATTTCGCTGAAGACTCGTGCCTGGCACACACTACCTAGCTTATTGAAGACCAAACGTTTATTTAGGAAGACCAGTTCCTGAACCTGAGTCACAGAACTAAATATGTGTGTCCAGCGACTGGAGGAGAATTGCATCTTGGCCTTGTTCTGAGAGCCATCCTTTTTGGGGGTTTTTGGTTGGGGCTGCGCTGTCACTACATTGCCCTGCTCAGATGGCTTCCATAGATTTCACCTCACTGCATTTGATAAGATTATAAATCTTGTTTGCCAGCCTAAAGGATACATTTATTCCACAGGGTTTGCAGAACCAGAAATTTTAAAACAGGATATCACCTAAGACATATTTGTGCTATATAAAGATTTTCCTTGCAGCAATGTGAACTGTCGACTGAAATGTGGGGACCTAAAGAGAAATCCGTTAAGAGGCTAATGTAATAGACCAGGCAGAATTTGACATGGCCTAACTGCAGAGAGTCGGGGGAAGAGGAGAAGGAGATGGAAGATGATTCATAAATCCAGTGGTTGTTGATGTGGTTGTTGTTGTTGTTAGCTGCTTCAAGTCTATTTTGACCCATAATGACCCAATGTGGCAGAGTAGACCTGCCCCAAAGGCTTTTCCAGCCATAATCTTTGCAGGAAGAGACCGATCCCTAGGTCTCTGTCCTGTGAAACCGCTGACCCAATGTGCCAATCTGTCAGTCAACAGCTAACTACCTAAGCACTGAACTACCAGGGTTCTACCAGGTAGACCTTAATAAGCTGTGAGATGTGCAGCATTTCACCAGAAGCCGGAAGGTCTGGGCTCTGAGTGTTTAGTAGCGGTCTCCTCCCACCTTTCACATGTGGCCTTAGGTGACTCCTTTAAAATTTCTGCCTCAATTTCCTCAAGAATTTTGACTGAAAGGGGTGCCTCTAGGGGCTATCAAAAGGCTCACATGAAAAAAAAATGTATATGGCTTTGTTTTTTTAATTGTGAAACAGAACTTAAGTATAAGGTGATGGTGATCAAGATACAAAATGATGGTGGTAGCAATGGACATTTATCAAGCACTGCGTCAGATGCCATGCTGCGTACTTTTCTCACGTGGTTTCATGAAAACAGCGCATGGTCCTTAAAGGTGCAGCCATGCTCATATCGTTATTTCTGCTTTGAAGGGGGTGGGGAGTGGTGACTTAAAGAATTTAAGTATCTTGACCAAGAGCAAACAGCTAATAAATGGGTGATACTTAAGTTACTGTGGTTACTAGAGAAAAGCCCCAGATGCCCCTACCCCGTCATGGCTATCATAACTCCTTCTGGACAGGTGGAAGACCTGAGTTTAGTAGGTACATTTTCACGATCCTGACTGCAAGCCTGAATTGCATTTCAAATGTATCCTCAGATAAACCCCGGTTGTTCCCTACCACCCACCCCTGCCCCCCAAAGTAATGCTAATTATAACCTTGTAAATTATTGTGTTTCAGGCCCATCAAAAGAGGGGATATTTTGCCCCCAGAAAAAGGCCGAGAGGTTGCCAAGGAGCTGGGCATACCGTACTACGAAACGAGTGTGTTTGACCAGTTTGGCATCAAGGATGTGTTTGACAATGCAATCCGAGCAGCCCTGATTTCCCGCCGTCACTTGCAGTTCTGGAAATCCCACTTAAAGAGAGTTCAGAAACCGTTACTGCAGGCACCATTCCTACCTCCAAAAGCCCCTCCACCGGTCATCAAGGTTCCCGAGTGCCCCTCCACCTGGACGAACGGAGCCGCCTGTTTGCTCAACAATCCCCTGTGTGCAGACGTCCTGTTCATCCTGCAAGACCAGGGGCACATCTTTGCACACCGAATTTACCTCGCTACCTCCTCTTCCAAATTTTACGATCTCTTTTTAATGGAATGTGAAGAATCCCCAAGTTGGGGTGACGGAGCTGGTGAGAAAGAGAAGCAGAACAGGGATTTCCAGTGGCACACATTGCATCTGGACGCAGACGAGGACAGGCAGGAGGGCGCCCCCCGGACACCGCAGCCCGATCAGTGGAAGTCCTCTAGCAAGGGCTTGTGGGAGACTCCGGGGCTGGAAGCTGAGGGCTCAGGTCCAGAGACACAGGCTTTGTCTGGATGGAGTAAGGGGTTCGTTGACATGCACAGGGAAATGCAAGTCAACCCCGTTTCAAAGCAGGTGGGCCCCATCACTGTGGTCAGGATGGACTCATCAGTCCAGCCAGGCCCTTTCCGGACCCTGCTCCAGTTTCTGTATACGGGGCAGCTGGACGAAAAGGAAAAGGATTGGATGGGCCTGGCTCAAATTGCAGAGGTCCTGGAGATGTTTGACTTGAGAATGATGGTGGAGAACATCATGAACAAGGAAGCCTTCATGAACCAGGAGATCACAAAAGCGTTTCACGTCAGGAAAGCTAATCGGATAAAAGAATGTCTCACCAAGGGGACCTTCTCAGGTGAGAGGGCCCAGTGGCAGAGTTCTCTTGACGGTTGCATGTACTCTGTTGTATGTTGGCCAAACATAGGACCCCTGGGGGCTTCATGGTTTATGAGTGGGCCGGCTAGCTATAGTGGTTCAAAACCACCAGCCAGCCCTTGGGAGAAAGATGAGGCTAGCTGCTCCCATAAAGATTTACAACCTTGACAACCCCAAAGCAGAGTTCTGTGTTGCCCTATAAAGTCTCTATGAGTCAATTGTGTCATCGGCAGTGGATTTGGTTTTGTTTTGGTGTGGTTTGGTTTTTTGAGTCAAACTTAATGGGAGGATAAAGAAGAACATCCTTAATCACAAGGCACGTTTCTTCAGTTATTGGATTTGATTTTTAATTTGGTGGTGCCACTCTGTAAATTCATTGCCTTCCTGTCAATTATGTTTATTTTCAGTCATACCAAATTAGTCACAATTTGCAAACAATTACCAGGAGGTAATGAAAATTTCATAACCATTAAAGATAATGAGTATATTGCTAAAAACAAAACAAAACAAAAAACCATAGCTGACACAAGAGCTTCCCCCTCCCCATACAATGTATTCTCTTATTTCTCATCAGACAGAGTTAAATAGTATCTCTAGTTTTCAAGTGGGGAAACTGAGGAACAGTAGAAGTTAGGTAACTTGCCCATGGTTATATGGTAGTAAGTGGTAGAACTAGGACTTGAACCCAAGACTGTAGAAACTGATCACTAAACCAACATGGTATCACACTTATCTTTTTTATCATAAGAGTAACAAGTAGGTCAAGTTACTCTTGAGCCCCTCTTCGGCCTCTTTGGTCCCTAAAATTCCGCTGCAGGATGCCTTGCTTGCCTCTCTCCATTCTCCATTGACCCATCAGCATGTCAAAGATCACTGTCTCTAGTCCTGAGGCCACTGAAGGGGCCTCTGGATTCCCAGCCAGGTGCTCCCTCGTTTCCAGCCCTTCTCCTTTGCTGATCTCACATCGCTCTGTCCAGCTCATCCATGTTTTTCTTCGTTGGTTGGTCACCGTGCCCTTACATAATTGCCACATCACACTGGTGACCTGTATCCAATACGGTTTATTGACTCCGGCTTGTATTATCTTGGACGTGGCCCTGTTCATTTTTGCTTTGAATTGACCGTTGCTGTGCCTGTGTATGTATGTGTGTGTTAGCGTGTTCCTGTGTACCATTTTGACTTTCTGGCTTATAAAGATACCTTTGTCTTTCTCTGTATTGTTCCTAATGCCTGCTGTGGTACTGTGTCTGTAGTAAACACTTACTGAATCTGCGCCTTCCTTTAAGGCTTATGCCAAACACTGGCCATCATCAATAAGAACAGCCTTGAAAGTTACTGGACACGAAATGTGCAAATCAAGAGTAACTTAAATGATGGACCTTAAGTAAAGTTGATTAAATCCTTCTTATTGCAGAGACAAAATGAACAACACACATTGTGTGCGCCTCAACTTGGATTCTGTGTTTTTGTTTTAAGGTATACAATACAACGTAAAGATTATTGGAGAAACTTGAACATGAACTAGATTGTGAATGATTCAGGCAATTGTTTACTTGGTTTGCTTCTGAGAATGTTCTTATTTTGACAAAATTCATGATAAAGTAGTGAGGAAAGATCTTATTTTTTAAAATAAACACATATAAATACAAGTATAGCTGAGCAAGTGTGGGAAAATGTTAGCAATTTATGAATCTAGGTGGTAAGAAAAATGGGTTTTCATTGTACTATTCATTCCACTCTGGAAGTATGAAACATTTCATAATAAAAAAAGAGGGGGAAATGATTTAGCTCCTTTCTGTTAACTTCCTGGATGGAGAATATGTGTTGTGACCTTACGTGTCTGATTTTCAACGGTTGCTCATTAATTCTTGGAAAGCAACAGGAGGAATTGAGTATGCTGAAGGAGAGAGGTGATTTAAACTCAGCAAATAAATATGAGAGAGAGGCTGACGACTGTGGGTGGAGCCGAACCCTGGGCACACGCTCTCACTGAGGCTCTGTCTTCCATCCTTTGGCAGACGTGACATTTCAGTTGGATGACGGCGCCATCAGTGCCCACAAGCCTCTGCTGATCTGCAGCTGCGAGTGGATGGCCGCCATGTTTGGAGGGTCGTTTGTTGAAAGCTCCAATAGTGAGGTGTGTATGTGTCTTTATATCAACAGCTTGTTCCATTTCTCAGGTAACCAGTTCTTCAACTGCTTTCAGGAAATGGTTCCCTAGGCAAGCTTTAAATGTTAGCCCACCCTTTTATAATTTTGCAGTTGTGAAGAGCTATTGTTTATTGTTTAGTTATGTGCAGCAGCCCTGGTGCTTAGTGGGGTAAGCATTGGGCAGCCAACCTTAAGGTCAGCAGTTCCAACCCATCAGTCATTCTGAGGAAGAAAGATGAGACTGTCTGTTCCCATGAGAATTTATACCCTCAGAAACCCAGTGAAGCAATTCTGTTCTGTGCTATAGAGCCACTGTGTGTCCCCGTTGACTCAACAGAAGTGATCTTCTTGCTTAATACCCAAGATTTTTGCATGCAGATTCTTTTAGAAGTTCAGGAAAAGAGAGTTCTTTGGTCCCTTAGTCCGGCCCTCAGCATTCTCCCTCACCAGGTGGAAGACTTCATGGAGCCACATCCTTGTGCCTCAGTCTCCTCATCTTTAAGATGTGGGATGCTCTGACTCACCTTGGAGTTCCCTGGAGTGACCTCATTCCCTGAGACTGTAAGGCACCCACTCCTCCAAGCTAGTCTTCCCTGCTGTGCTGAGGGGCTACTAGGACCGAGAGTGTCTTATTAATGGTAGGAAAGCCGTCCTGGAGCAAATAGCTGCTCCTCTGGAGTACTGATATCTAGAAGCCGCCCTTAGACCGCTTGTCCGACACTGGACCGATCACCAAAAGAAAGGGTAGTCTTCGAGAAGCAGAGGCGGTGTCAGCACAGAGACCCTGCATCCCCGTCCTTTTCACAAGTCCCATGGGAAAGTGAGGGAAGAGAAATCCCATCCAGACACCTCTACCGCTGGTCTTAGGGTGAGTAAGCATTTTTGTTGGGTTGTGTATTTTTTGAACTGTCTTCTAAAAAAATGGGACACCCCATCAAGTGTATTATCCTAGGAGGCTTGCTTTGCTTGTTTCAGCATCTCTCCAAACGTTTAAAGAAAATAGAGAAAACAGTAACTTTTCAAAAGGGGTGCTTGCATCAGAAATCTGAGCCCTCCCATCGTGGCCCGGGAGCCTGGGTTTGCATCCTTAAGTAGAGAAACAGAATCCTAGAATCACAAGCCTGCCGTGGCTAGGGCTGAGAAGGTCATTAGGTCACCCTTCTGCTTCCAGAAAAAACTTCAAAAATATCCCCTGCTGTCCAGTGGATTCCAATTCATAGGGGCCCTATAGGGCAAAGTAGAACCGCCCACAGGGATTCCAAGGTTGAACATCTTTAAGAGAATAGAGGGCGACATCTTTCTCCTGCAGAGCAATTGGTGGCTTAAAACACCTTTTTTAGTTAACAGCTGTGTTAGTCGGGATACTTTAGAGAAACAAATCCACTAAAACTCATGTATCAGAGAGAGTTTTATATAAAGGTTAAGTGCGCATCAAGAAAACATCCCAACCCAGTGCTGCCTAAGCCCACAAGTCCAACATTAACCCAATTGTCCAACACCAATCCACAAAGTCCTCCTCCATCTCACAAAACACACACTATGATGCTGACTGCAGGAGGAAAGCCAAGTCAGTAAAGGTGTAAGCATCTCAGCGCTGGCAGGGGTCTCCACACGTCTGCTCCAGCACCCAGGGCTGCATCGGGGTAGGTCCATGTGGCTTCTCGTCCGGGATGTCTTGCAGGAAGTGAGCCTTGTCAGTTGAAGCAGGGAACTGGCTAAGGCAGCTGCACCCTGATCCGACCATCAGAAAGCAAGAGACCTGAGAACTAGAAAGGCGAGGCTCACCAGGCCATTTTATCTCTCCACCCTTCAGTGAACCCCACAGGTGTTTATCGGCCAGGTTGGCACAATAAACTTAAACTATATCAACAGCCAATAGCTCGAATCACTCTGCCACCAAGACTCCTTGGAGTAAACTGCAGGTGCCCCCCAGCAAAGGGCTATCTGCTGTTTGTAGAAAAGGTGTCCAGAGTATCCTGCTGACCTCTTCTGACGTCTAAGCCTGGCCGGATGCACGAGCTTGTTCTGAAGCTACTGCAGCTGAGTGGAAGCCCCAGAATGGCTGTAGGGAGGGAATCGCACTGACAAGCTGTGTGACTCTGAGCAAGAGGCTTAACCTCTACGAGCTCCAGTCTCCTCATAAGGAAAACAGAATAACAAGAGTGGCCCCCCTTGCCGCCACCCCCCTCCCGTAGTGTGGCTGTGAGGTACAAGGATGATAGTTCCGATGCAAATTGTAAACATTAGATAAGTGGTATCCTTAAATCGCTGTCAATGGTTGTGATGGTACCCCTCTACCCACTCTTGATTGCGAGACCCCCCGGTGGTGCTGTGGGCTAAGTATGGGGCTGCGAATCGTAAGGTTGGTGCTGCAAAGCCCCCAGCTGTGGGAGAAAGATGAGGTTGTCGCTTCCTGTAGAGATTTGCGGTCTTGGAGACCCTCAAGGGCAGCGGTTCTGCTGGGTCCTGCTTGACGGTTGCTATGAGTTGGAATCCATTGAATGACGGTGAGTTTGGGGGGTTTTTTTGTTTGTTTGTTTGTTTGTTTTATTCGAGGGAACAGGTGTTTGTTTGTTTTCTCAGTTCTTGCAAGAAAAAACTTTGGAGACAGCCACCAATTAGTAAACCCTCATCCAATTTGCATGGTACCGGCTTCCCTAATCTCCAGCGAGGAAGAGCTGGGAGAGGCTTGCTTCCTTACTTTTCCAGCTGCTTGTGCTGCATGGGGCCTGCTATGCACAGAGCAGAGAGGTGATCAAGGTCAGGAGCCCAGGCACAAAGAGACACTGTCAAAGCGAACCTCACAAATGCTAATCCCCTTTATCCCTTCCCAGAATGGACTGTAATCGTCTCGGATTAAAATGTGCAGTAAAGGTGACCAGTACAAAACTTGGCAGCGAGTGTGAATGCACATGTCTGAGTCTCTGCCTGTGCCCAATAACCTCTTCTGGAGATAGTCACCTGTTTCACACACCCTCGTACACAAGAAAGACTGGGTCACTAGTCAAGGAGTACTGGAAAGCTAAGGCATCGTAGGCATGTGCAAATTCAGTTGAGCTCAAGAGACAAAAAGGCCAAGGAGCCAAAGAACAGAAGATTTGGGCTTAAATTCCTTGATCCAATCTATTAAGAATGCCACAAGCCACTGAATTGTACAGTTGGAAATGGTTCAAGGGCCAAAACTTAAGTTTATATATTTTCTTTCTAGAATAAAACAACAGCAACAAAAACATGTTTAAGAATGCCTGGAACACTTGACATTACTGCCCACTCCTGTCTCTTATTTTAGTTTCTCAGGTAAACAGTGTCGGCACTTATCCCAGGTCTTTCTAGCATGGCTTTAGGTACAGGACTGTCTCCTCAGCTCCCTCAGTCTGAAGGAGGGGATAGGCAGGGCAGGCAAACCAGGAGAGTTTGCCACGGAAGCATTTAATTTGGTGCCTTAAACAGACAAATGCTCCGTCAATGATAGGCTGTCATGAGACAGACATGTTCAATTATTTCCAAGCTCTTTGTACCCTGAAAGCTCTAGACTTAAAAACCCCCACCCCACCCCTTGCTAAACTACAATAGCCTAGTAGAAGGGTCATAGGTGGAGGGATAGGGTTAATCCCGTAGTAAACGCTCAATGAATACTCCTGGGTGGATGGAGGCCTGTGTTCACACCTGGGATTAGTCCTTCCCAGGCCACCTTTGAACTCTATTGCCTTGTGAAAAACTAACTTCCACCTGAAAAACGTACTTAATCTGTTGTGGCATCAATAGCAATCCAGAAAGGAATAAAATATGCTCATTGGTGTTACTTTAACTTTTTTGTGGTTTAATATTCAGGAAGTTGCTGTATTTTGCTTGTATTTTTCCCTCATTACATTTAATGTAGCAGTCAGCATACCCTCTCCCCAGAGATGCTCAACAGGTCGTTCATTAAGCGTGCACGCACGGCTTGTTGTGGGACAGCTCTGGGTCTAGACGACTGTCTCACTATCAGAACATCTCGAATTATACGCCGAATAGTCTGTGCTGACCTTTGCAATTAAAATTTTAAACCAGCTAAACTGAAATATGAGTCATTGTTTAGCGTTTTTCTCATTAATTGCTTCTTGTTGGTTTTTCCTCCCTCTTTTTCTTTTTTAAGCTTCCTCTAGCAGGTAGGGTACAACATTATAAATCCCATTTCTTTTAAAGTGCTATAGACCTTTCCCTCCTCTGCAAAGGGAAGAGCGATTTGTAGATGCTGTGGCGGGCTTTGTGAAGGAAGGGACCACGAGAAGAAAAGGGATGTGAGCGGATCTTCTCTTTGACGGGCTCATTCTCTGAGTCCCTAAAATTATTCGCCAGAAAGAGGCCCAGCAACAAGAAAACAAACAAAACTGGTAGAGTTGTGTTAAGCAGGAGGAAACAGTAGGTCCCGGGTGATCACACGCAGCAGCACAGCCCAAGGACATGGCGAGGGTTGCGGCAGGGCCGCTGGCCGGTGGGGGGAAGGGGGGCGTGTCGCCATGGCCAGAAATTACTTCTTTCCACTGGGGATCTTCACTTTACCGTTTGTATTCCTCACCGGCCTTATTTTTTTAAGCAATGACTTAGCATGTGCCCCTCCCCACCACACACACACACACAAAATGTCTTATGGTAATCTGAATCGCCTCAGAACTCAGCATCTCAGGGAAGAAAAGCAAAAAAACTGGCAGAAGGAAGAATTAGAGAACATAAATATAAATCAATATGGATTATGCTGGCTGAAGAACAGAGAGGGAAAAGGAGAAGAAAAGCAAAAAAAAAAAAAAGCTTCAGATATTAACTCTTCTAAACTCCTCTCAATGACAGAAGAAGGTCAAAGGCCTTTGAAGGTCAAAGATGTGGAGGGATTTGTCAAAGGGCACACAGCGTTTCAGTGCTGAGTCTCAGAGCTGAATCAGGCTCTGGTCAGGTCAGCCAAGCTGTTGTTTTCAGGAGCAGAAAACATTCCCGTGGTGATGAGAGGAAGCTTTGGGACTTTTATATTAATGATCACTAACATTTTATAGCACTCCATGCTTGACAGAATACATTTTCATTATCAAAATGGTTAAAATTTCAAAGATGCACAAGTTAAATAGCCTTCAATTATCTGGAAAAGTGTACTAATCCTCACATCATTTTAGAGAAATGAGATGTTGTCATGTGTTCACACACACCAGTGAGTCAGTGTGGGTGCTATAAATGTATTCATGTCTATATAAATATATAATAACTGCATATATCTACAAGCTTATGGACACAAGCATATACACAGGTATCACTAGGTTCATTTTCATAGCAACTTTTCATCTGTAAGTGCAACTGGTTGAAGGATGAGGAACATTCCACTATCTGTATATTGCAGATGAGCCACCATGAACGGCAGTCCTTGACTTTAACATAACCACAGGAATAGCTTCTACTTGGTGAGAGCTGTTGTTGCGGTTGTGCTAAAACTCAAAATGACCACACTTATCAAATCACTGATGGTAATGACTCGTTTAGCTCATTTATCGACTCAAAATTGTTGTTCTCGCTGACAATAGCAGAAAAGGGGTATTTCTTTAATATTTTAGGCATTTTTTTTCTGGGCCCTCCCTATGATCCATTAGAGGCTATCACTCCCTGACTGGAGGGAATTCAGTCCTCTCTGAGGTAATTGGTGACTGAACAGGACAATAACATAGAAAGTTGCTGTCGCTTAAACAGGTCTGGAGTCACACCACTAGAACATACTACACTGGCCATGAGCTCCTTGTAGGGAGAGCGTGGTCTTTCTGCCTGCCTGCCTGCCTGCCTTCTGTCTTTCTCTCCATGTATCTGCATATACCCATACACACACACACACACAAACTAAGGGGTACCCCCCCAAAAAAACAGAAAAAAGCTTCACTGGGCGGAGCTATCATAGTATGCATTTTCCTACTAGAATAGCATCAAGCAGTTCATTCGGAGTTAGTGCACCCAGTGTCGTCGCCTGGGAAGGTTCTCTGGTCTCAATGAAGATTTTCGTAAAAGTAGTTTCACTCAAACCTTGTTTCTTGTGATAGACGATTTAAGAGAACAGCTGTGAGTTTTTGTTTCCTGCTCTGGAAAAATGCCGCAGAAACTGTTGTGATGTTGAACACATTTTACAAGGACAGAACGATAGAAAAAACAAGTGTAAAAGTGGTTTTCTCCTTTCAAAAAAGGTGAAATGTCAATTGATGATAAACCTCGTTCTGGACGTCCATCAACTTCCTGAACGGACTAACATATTCACTCATAGTGGATTTGGAGTTCATTCCACTGAGGCAGACTGTTAATCAAGCTCCCTATTTAGAGGTTCTGAAAAGATAGCATAACAGTGTTGAAAAATGCCAGATGTGTGGCAGGTGGGGACTGGTTTTTCCTCCATGACAATGCGCCTGTTCATGCAGTCATTTCAGTGCACCAGTTTTGGGCAGAAAACAAGATGCCTCTCTTGGCCCAGGCACCTTACTCACCTGACCTCGCTCCATGGGACTTCTTTTTGTTTCTGCAAATGTAGAGGGACATGAAAGAACAGGGATTTGAGGATGTAGAAGAGGTGAAGAAAAAATGAGGGCGGTGCTGTCAGCCACCCAAACAGATGAATTTGAAAAATGTTTCCATGAATGGAATCACAGATTTGGCAAATGAATTAAGTGTAATGGAGAGTACTTTGAAGGTGATAAGGATGTCTTGTAAAAAAAATTTACATAGCTTTGAGAAAAACTTCCAGATATATATACAGATACACTATATAGCGATACATATACACATATGCATTTTATATATATACTAGATGTATTGCTATAAAGCAACCATTGCTATATATATGCTTATCTATAATGCTGGATATGTAGATGTTTATAAAATACCAGAAATAAATTTATAAAGGTTCATCCTTTTGTACTTGGAAATCTCATTCTTAAAAATACTGACACATGGTGCTTTTTGTTTTTTAACTGTAAACCAAACATTTATTTCCCTACCATTAAGGATTCCCAGCATTTTGCATTGGTTCAGAACATAGACTTTAGAGTTAAACAGTCTCTGGATTCAAATCCTTGTCAGTATTTATTAGTTCTAAGACCTTGGACAAGGTACTTAACCTTCCTGAACCTCAATTTCTTTGTCTATAAAGTAAAAAGGGAAAAAATATCTCTTCTTCCTAGGGACGTTGTAAGGATCAAACTAGATCATTCATTTAGAAAAATTGGCATAATACCTAGTACATAGGAGGTCTTCAATTAAGAGTAAGGCCTTTAATTAATTTTTGTATATGCATCATCATTCCAGTACTAAGTTTTGCCCTACCAGGACCTGACTGGTGGAATCATTTAGAGATCTATAGTGGGGAGTATACAGGAACATCCCTATTGACCCAGGCCCAACCATTCAGAACTCCAGCTCCCAAACTGTCCTACCTCTCTAGAAAACTCTGGCGCATTTTTATCTGGCAAGCAATTACAAGCATCTAGAGTGGAACTGGAACAATCTATGAGAAACAATTCACCTTACCTAGCACACTGCTCCCGCAGATGCTGCCCTAAGCCAGCAAAGATGCTGTTAGGTTCTCTGAATCTGTTACTTGATAATGTTCTAGTCATTCTGAATCTGTGTGGTTATTGTCTGAAAAAACGTGTGTATGCCATTGCTAGAATATTCTGAGAGAACATCAAAATCAAGCCAGCCACTGTGGCAACAGCGAGGGCTATTGCTCCTCCCTTGTTTTGACATCTTAGAGAGCTGGGCTCTGTCATGTGTCCGCAGGAGTGTGGTTTGCAGCTCTACCAGCACCTGTCCGTTGCTAGGCGATTTCTTTCCCTGCAGTAGAGTATTGTAATGTACTTGGCAATGAGGGCCCATAATGCCATCATACATTTACAGCCCATTTGTCTGATTTAGAAATCCAAATAGCCATTTAAAAACTCCAAATTAGGCTTCGTTGGGCAAGCTAACTCTTGTATCCTCTACAAATCAAACTGTTTTGTTTAAATCTATAAATACAGAGTCATTTCTCAGCCTCCGAGCAGGTATCAGAGACTCCCCAATATGAAACCATACAGCTGGGTGTGTGGATAAGCAGCATAATTTGGAATGTGGCCACTCTTTCCTTTCTTCAGCAGAACTTAGCTTTCCAAATAACATTGCAGGTCTATCTCCCGAACATAAACAAGATGTCAATGCAATCAGTTTTGGATTACCTCTATACCAAGCAGTTGTCACCGAACCTGGACCTGGACCCACTGGAGTTAATTGCCTTGGCAAACAGACTTTGCCTGCCACACTTGGTTGCACTTGCAGGTAAGCCTTATGACTTGGGACCATGCAGTGTCTGCCTGCCTTACTTATCAACATTACATTTAAACAAAAATGAGATATCCAGGGAATGGAAAGAATATGTGGTTTTTCATTTTATTTTGTTTTAACCCCAAATAGGATTTTTTTTTTTGGGGGGGGGGGCAGGTGGTTGTTGAGCATAGGAACTGATCAAATGGGGAAAGCAGCCCAGTTCAATTCAACATGCATTTCTTAAGCTTTGACTTTGAGGGGTAGGTAGGCGCTATTTGGTTATACGAGTATAAAGATGAATAATACTTGGCCTTTGTCCTGGAGGGCACACTCTATACACATGTGGAACTGTTTGTGACACCCACCCCACCCCACAGTTTGAAAGAAGACAATTTTGTCAGTGTTGTCCACAAAATGTGTGGCTGAAGGTGGTCTTGAAGAAAAAGGCCACAGAATGCACTGGTTAAGAGCAGAGACCACAGAGCCCATTTGTCTGGGTTTGGATCCTGACTCCTGATTTTATAAGTTATTTAACCAATCAGTCTCAGCTTTCTCTCTTTAAAGTGGTAATAGTTTTGCATAACCTAGATTTTTTTTTTTAATGAAGATTAAGTGAGTCAAAACCTATAAAGTCTTTAAAACACTGTCTGACACATAGTAAGCATTATGTAAGTGGTTTTCTTAAAGTTATTTCAGCAAATGTTCTGATGTGCTTAAATTCATTTTTGGAAAAAGTTGGGGGAAGTGGGAGGAGGGAGGATCTGGATTAATTTGTTGAAGTCTAGATTTCTTCAACTGCTAAGCTAAAGCTGGTCTGTAAAAGATATATGCATTCAAATACAGTTTTCTTGAATTTAAACCAGAGGTGTCAATTAGCAGTGAGTGCTTTTTCTTCCTACATTGAAGCTGACTCGTGTTAGCCATGAGGGCAGAGACGGTGTCTGTCTTGTCCCCTGGCGTATCCCCTGCCCATAGGAAAGTGCCTGCATATATTAAGTCTCAATAAATATTTGTTTAATAATTTAATTACTGAATAAATTAATGAATCCATGAACAAACCAGCCAGCCACATCTGTACTTCACTTTATAGTAACACATTTACAAAAAAGTATTTATGTCCCTAATCTCCAGCTGTCCTCTCCTTACAAGAACCCCAACGGGGTAGAAGGAGCCACTTGAAGGTCTGCTGCCTTAACTAATCCATTGACAGTGGTAGAGCCCAGTGAGCACGCTGCTGTGTACATGCTAACGCCCAGAGGTTGTAATGGTCAATTCCCTTTTTCAGAAGGATGGCTCACATCCCATTTGACCATCCACGTTGTTCCACATTTATGTATGTTTTTGCTTTTTTATATTATTTGACTTTTTGAAATATCAAAAGTAATTTGGAGTCAATTCTGTTGAACCATCCCTGAAAAACACCAATTTTACTTGACTATTAAGTCTGACTATAAAAAAACACTGGACTGATTGTCCCAGAAAAGTTTTTTGTTTTGTTATGTTTTTTTTAATTAACCCTATGAAAGCTTTCTGTGTGAACTACAGACTTCTCTATATATAAAATAGTTATCACTGTTATGATTATTTAATATATAGCTTCTGAACATGATTACCATAAACATATATATTGTTTGATGTGTTTATGGCATTGTTGTCACAGTTTTTGTTGTTAAGTACATTAGAGTCAGTTGACACTTGGGACAACTCATGTGACACAGTTGAACTGCCCCCACAGGATTGTTTTGCCTGTAATCTCTACAGAAACAGATTTCTAGATATTTCTCCTATCAAACCTCATAATGTTCAAGAATATGTTTCAGGGGTGAAAATTCTCTACAAAGTGAAGTGTTAAGTGAATATCAAGAAATGTTGTGTTCTACACATTTATAAATCCAATCCCTTTTCTCAGCAGTATTTTAAATTCTATACCAGTGTCTAAAATAATGATACTATTGCCTTATGCCTCATGGGGTTGATTTATTATGTACGCCAATAAAATTATAAAGAGATCTCTAAAGTGAACCAGGGGCATATATAAACCATAGATTTACGAAAGGATTTGGGGCTCTCAGTTGATCGTAGCCCTAAAATATGAACTATTAGTTCTTGGAACATGGCCCTGTTCCCTGCTTCCTCTCATGCATAGGCCACTGAAGCTATGGGTGCTATACAAAATGTGTTGAAGAAATCAAATGATTCCCAGCTATTAGGAAAAAATATTACCTGGAATCTTAAAGGCTTGTCTCAAAACAAGCAGCCCTCTAGTGAGGAGTCAGCTGTATACTTGCACATTTTGAAGTGCCTCTAATTACTCAACTTCTTAAATGTCAGAAAGTATCAAGATTTGGATGGATGTTAGACAGTGTAAAGGATTTTAGGAAGGCACACCACAACGAGGGATATGTTCTGTATCGGCCCTATCCAATAAGGCAGCCACATGAAGCTATTTGGCACTTGGATTATGGCTCGTGTGATTGAGAAACTGATTTTTTTCCCCATTTTAATTAATTTAAATAGCTATGGCTGCCACACTAGAAATTACAGACTTACAAGGGGGGTCCCAAAAATAACCGGAATTTTTTTCATTAAACAAAACAACCTTATCACCTTCAAAGTATTTTCCATTACCCTTACCAAATCGGCAATTCCATTCTTGGAAACATTCTTCAAACTCGTCTGTTTGGATGGCTGACAGCACCTCCCTCGTTTTTTTCTTCACCTCTTCTACATCTTCAAATTGCTCTCCTTTGAAACAAAAGAAGTTGCATGAGCAAGGGCAGGTGAATCGGGTGCATGGGGCAAGAGAGACATGATGTTTTTTGCCAAAACCTGGCACACTGAGATGGCTGCGTGAGCAGGTGCATTGTGGTGGTGGCAAAACCAGTCCCACGTCTGCCACAAATCAGACCTTTTTTTGTCACACACTTTTGCGAAATCTTTTCAGAACCTCTAAATAGAAAGCTTGATTAACAGTGTGACCTGGTGGAATGAACTCCAAATGCCCTGTCCCCCTCACATGAAAGAAAAAGAGCATCATCTTGATCTTTGCTTTCGCTTGATGAGCTTTGTGGGTGTCTTCCACTGGCTTTGTTGATGTTTGCCTTGGGGCTTGTAAGAATAGCACCATGTCTCATCACCAGTAATGACCTTGGGAAAGAAGTCTGGGTCACTTCAGAGCTGTTCTTTTCAAGCATATGGCTTGTTTCCTGATCGGTCAGAAGCCAAGGCACACTTTTTGCAGACCCTTCTCATTCCCAAATCTTCCATCAAAATTCATTTATCTACCTCCAACATAGTCCAGATAACTTCCCATTTCTTCTTTTTTTAAAAAAATCATTTTATTGGGGCTCGTACAGCTCTTATCACAATCCATGCATGCATCCATGTGTTAAGCATATTTGTACATTTGTTGTCATCATCATTTTCAAAACATTTTCTTTCGACTTGAGCCCTTGGTATCAGTTCCTCATTTCCCCCCCTCCCTCGTCCACCTTCCCTCCCTCACGAACTGTTGAAAATTTATAAATTATTTTTATTTTTTCATGTCTTACACTGATCATTGTCTCCCTTCACCCACTTTCCTGTTGTCTGTCCCCCTGGGAGGGGGTTATATGTAGATCATTGTAATTGGGTTCCCCTCCCCCCGTTTCCCCTTCCCCTCCTGGTATCACTACTCTCATTATTGGTCCTGAGGGATTTATCTGAAACACAACTTTCCTCTAGTTCCTAAGTGCTTCCTTCCCTCCCCCCTCCCTCCCAAACTATCATGATCCCAATTCTACCTTACAAATCTGGCTAGACCAGAGCATGTACATGGGTACAGATAAGAGCTGATAACACAGGGAATCCAGGACAGATAGACCCCATTTCTTCAATGGTCCATCATTGGTCTTTGAGCACAAGTGTATAAATTTTGTCAACATTTTTATCCATTTGAGAAGTTGATTGATGTCCAGAATGAGGTTTTTCATCAATTGACATTTCACCTCTTGTAAAATGAGAAAACCGCTCATACATTTGAATTTTTCCCATAGAGCTATCCTTGTAAACTCTGTTCAACCTATCACATCAGTTTCTATGGCACTTTTCCCAAGCAGGAAACAAAACTTTCCAGCCACACACTGTTCTCTTAAATTGGCCATCACAAAAAATGAGGTTCGAGCGAAACTGCTTTTACAAAAATTTCACTGTGACCAGAGAACCTTCCTAGGCAATGCCACTGGGTGCACTAACTTAGAGCGAGTTGTATGATGCTCGCCTAATGGGGAAAAGGCATACTATGAAAACTCCCCCCAGCGCAGCTTTTTTTCCAGGTTTTTTGCTTACCCCCTCGTAGAAGAGTCTGGCTATTTTCAGCAGTTTGACCAAAAGATCAGAGAGTAGTCGATGCAATGGCTAGGCAATAGAACTTCTGTACACTGAAAGGCTGCATCAGAATGGGTTTGGGATTAAATTCAGATGACTGCCCAGAGCTGGGATCCTTGCCCTTCCCCCTCTTAGGTGGTCCCAGAAAAGACCCTTTAGACAAGATGCCAGGGTTGGAGGGTGCCTTTTGACCTTCTGCTTGTTTCTCTTCCTCAGAGCAGCACGCTGTACAGGAGTTGACCAAGGCGGCAATGAGCGGCGTGGGTATTGATGGGGAAGTGCTCTCTTACTTGGAATTAGCCCAGGTTTGTAACAATTTGCTTTTCACCTTTTAAGTGTTTTCAGCCCGTTGTTTCAGTGCTGCTAAAACATTCCTCTGTTGCATCTGTCTAAATAAAGATGTCACCACTGAGTCACAGAGGCCCCCTGTGTACACCAAGATCTAAGAGTTTTAACATTGCATGCACCATTCGCCCTGCTGGGCTTCGTTTGAAAAAACAACAAGGACCCCCACCCCCACATCAGCTTCATCATCCCCCGAGGCCCCAGCTTCACATGTGGGAGAACCACTTGAGCTTGTTAGGGAGAGGTTTTGTCTTTCCTTTGAATTTATACTTGAATTCTCAGACATGTATTGTCCAAGGCCAGACAGTTTCTAGAATTCCCTGCAGGCCAGCTATGCCCATACCACTCACGACAGCTCTCCAGACCTTTTCCGCAATCACGACTTGCTCATATGTCTGCGCTGATTCCAAAATCTCAATACACACACTTCCACCTTCTTCCACGGGGCCTGGAGACCCCATTTCCGCTTTGTCACTCAATAACTTACTCCAGGTACAAACGAACCCTTTCCTTGGTCTCTTCATCAATAAGAGGTGAGGATAGGGATTCATACCCTACCAGACTTAGAGGTTATTTTGAGAACAAAGTAAGAGAGACTGTTCACAAAAGAGCACTGGCTAGTCAAAAGTCTTCTTCTCATAGAGCAAGGAACCTCTGCGAGACTCGCTTCTCTGGCACAGACTTAGAGACGGGTTTAAGTTCTAAGGGAACAAGAAAACATTTTCTGCGGTCTTCTGCTTATTGGATTTGTCTTGGTTCCCTCTCTCTGTTAGTGCTGTGGTGGAGTAAAGGCCAGTGTTTTAATTGGATGTTTCTCGATCACGAGATAGGAGGAGTTTTATGGAGAGGAGAAGGCACACAACACGTGGTGCCCAGACCATTCCAGCCCTGACAGCAGGAGGCGGCTCGATTCAAATGGAGGGAGAAAGAGGACTTTACAGCAGTCTGTTCCTGCTGACTGAACAGTTAACAAACCATTGTTACTGCTATTGTTCCTTAACACCAGGCACTGCCCGGCACAGGGCATGTCAGTACAAACATTAGTCACCCTCAGGACAGGCATAGGCCAATGGGAGAAAGCGGTGAGCACAAATTATTAAAGCTCAATGTGATAACATGTCTGATAGATGGCATCATCATTCAGATGTAGGATAATCACCTACTACCGTAGAATCATCATGCCCTTCCCCCACGCCCACCTCCCTGCATCAAAACTGGTGTCTACACTTAGAGTTTGGGTGTTTTGAATCAGGCCCAGGGCTCATTCTTTGGAATTTGGTGTGTGAGGTTATAATTCTGGGAGTTTCTGAATCAGTTCAGAAAGTTTCCTGAAATGGCCGATGACTTCTATACTGTATTGGCTTTCTGAGGTAGAGATGTGGACCCCAGAGGCAGCCACACGAGTTCCCAGGATTTGGCCAGATCAAATCAGCATCAAGAGCAAAAGACTGGCATCTGAAAAGGACAGGGACACAAGGAGTGAGGGGCAAGTTGTGCCAAATTTGGGGGATGAGTCTGGGTCTGCCTATTTTTTTAAAAAACCATCCTATTGGCGTATACTTCACATATCATACAACAGAATCATTAAAAGAAGGGGTATAATCATTCGCACAATCGATTTCAGAACTTTTTCTTCCCATACTCTGTTGCTAGCTCCCCATTTCCCCATAACTGCTCCATCCCCTGCCAAGCCAACTATTAATCTGGTCACTACCTCGATAGATTTCCTGGATTTCATATACAGAAGGCCTTCAAAAACATAAATAGGATGCAAACAACAACAAAAACAACGAGCAAGGTCTGCCTTTTTTTTTAACATTAGGTCTTTTCATCCACATCTACCTCAGCTGCCTCCTCCCTGAGTGTCTCTCTGCTCAGAATGGACACCTGTGCATATCTGGATCCCTCCCACCCTGTCTACGCCGCCCACTGCTTTATGTAACCCGCAGGCCAGGCGGAGGACCATCACACACAACACAGTTTCCTCTTTGGGCTCTCTGGCCCCGCAGCACAGAGGATTCCATTCTTCTTAAACAGAGAGGCATTGCTGCGTGCTTTTCCTGTCTTCCAGGGGCCATGTTTACTTGTGGCCAGCGCGGCAGATAGTGGAGGAGGGCGGAGGGAAAGCAGCTTTAAACTCCAAATCTGATACAGTGATTATTTGGGGTGCGCCTATCATGGGATAAAGGAGGGATGTGCCAAACGCTAGACTTGGCTGGCACCAGCAGCCATAAGCAAAGTGAAAATACTGTAGTCAGAGCAAGATTCCGAATGAGTTAGTTATACCGGCCCTGATTTCACGTCACCACCACAACGGTCCCATGCAGCCTCTGCTTCCAAAAATAGATCCTCATTGACTGATTCCCTTTCGGTCATTCCCCTGCAGTTTCACAACGCCCACCAACTGGCTGCCTGGTGTCTGCACCACGTCTGCACAAACTACAACAGTGTCTGTGCCAAGTTCCGCAAGGAAATCAAGTCACAGTCCTCAGGTGAGACGATCCCTGGCTCCTCTGTCCAGCTCTCCTTGCCCGGCAGAAGTCTGCCCTTCCCAGACCCTTGAGAAGGCGGAGGGCTGCAAACAGCCCCTAGAGATCTAGGAAGTCGTGGTGACCACATGTTCCCGGGACACAGCCCTACGATTGCTGATAGAAAGTCTCCAAAGAGACTTGGGAGGATTTGGGTCACTGGACTTCCCAGCGCCCCACTTCAAAGCATCCTGAGGTCGTTGGGTCACCCTGGGGAAGCTTAGACTCAAAAATCAGGAGTCCCACTTCGGGGTCTCTTTGCCCAACCTCATGACTGTAGACAAGTGATTCTGCCTCTTCAGATGTTCCTGTCTCCGTCTGCAGGTGGTTCCGCTCAGAGGGGCTGCTACATTGGGTAGTTGAGAGGACCTGTAAGATTATAGAATATGGGATGCATTGAGCATAGGGCATGGCCCATCGGAGCAATGAGTAAACAGCGGGTATCATCACCCATCCTTTTGTCACCAGACAACCAGGAGTACTTTGAGCGGCACCGCTGGCCCCCAGTGTGGTACTTGAAGGAAGAAGATCACTACCAGCGTGTGAAAAGGGAGCGCGAGAAGGAGGCGATTGCACTAAATAAACATCACTCCAGACGCAAATGGTGTTTCTGGAACTCATCGCCAGCTGTCGCCTGAGGAGGGAGAGGAAACAGAAGAAGAAAATGCGCAACCTGATGCCCCAGATCTCAAAGCCCGACTGGAAAGTTAGTCTTATTACTAGAGATAAAACGTTCGGGTTCAGGCACTGATCTTCCTCCACTTCCGTGCTTTCATCTTGGTCAGGGTCAAAGCCCAAGCTCCCCATCAATGAGCCTGGACAAGAAAGGGAAGCTGATGTTCACTGCATTCCTTAAACTAATATGTATATTATTTTTTCTTAGGAGGTTTAATAAACTAGTCCGTTATTTCCTTTCTTTTTATACAAAGGGAAAAAAAATCAGCTTTCATGTTTCAATTTCCAAATTGGGAAATATTTTTATATGGTCTCTTGTATTTTGTTGAAGATGAAAATACTGTGTATTACTTTATTTTACAGGCCACAAATTAACCATGAAGTCGTCCTGTGGTTAAGTTGAAGCTCTCTGGCCACACGGCCACCGAGGCATGATGCGTAATTAGAGGGCTATCCTTTTGTTGTAGAGGAAAGGGTTGGAATGGAATTCCCCAAACTGCAAGCTAAAGAGTGTTTCTTCTTTGTTCTGCTGAATGCCATCAGTATAATTACTAAGTCAACTCCAAGAAATGTGTATTTACAATATTTGCTGTGTAAGTGGTAGTAATTATATGGTTATACGTGCCATGTAAAATATGGTGATATCAAATATTCTGTTGTTTAACATGTCTAGATCCAAGAGGATAATCTTTATAATCATTAGAAGGGCTTATTCAATCCCAGCATTATCCAGGGCAAACTCACCTGAATGCAAACGATACACTTAGAACGTTGTTTGGATGGCCGTATTAGGGTTTATGTCTTTCAGTATTCCTCAGTCTGGCCATGCGCTGCATGCAGATTCTCCATTGACTTGAATCGAGGTAGACAAGGGACAGGGCCACGGACTCCATCCCAGCATCTTCAGGTTTGTCCCATCTCACCACCAGAGGCAGGCTTCCTCAGGTCTCTCACCTGTAGCCAATTTCACTTTGTAAGACAGGTGTTTTTAACTCTTCCCAGGGAACATCCAGGTTGCTGCAGATGCAGGCTAAGGCAGACCCCTCACCCCTGCTGACAATTGGCGGGGCCTGTGAAAGCGCAGAGCTGGAGGCTGGGTCGCCCAGGGGCCTGCATTCTCTGAGCAGGAAGGGATTTCTTACTGCTAGAGTCTAGGAAATGGTGCTATTGTGAGTTAGTCCCGACCCTTTGTCTCTCTGAGTTTTCAGTGTTAAAATTAGAAAGTATTGAGCAGAGGAGCTTTGGAGAGACTATCAACCATTGCTTCTTTGTAAATTAATATGTTACGGCAGGCACGCGGCGCATTCTAAGGCCAAAGGTCCAGAAATGCCATGGGATGTTGTGCGTCAGGGCTAGGGCTCATTTTGTTGGTGGCTCACTTATGGATGCTACAGGCTATTGATTTTGTTTTTATTTTTACGTTCTTTCTAGATTTTAGAAGTTGAAAAAGAGACAGTTGGGCCCAGGCCCCAAATTGACAGCCATATGTATTTGAAAACTCTACCTAGCTTATAAACAGGCATTTATGACAGGCTGTAGAAATACACCAGATAAAAGAGCCTAGGGAGGCCTGGAAATGCATCACCCTCCCATGACCAGGGAGGGAGCAGTAGAGCAGGGACGGCTAAGTGCATCCACTTCACGCTTGGTGAGTAGGCTAGCATCTGATTCACGCAAGGAGGCAGAAGACAACGCAGAAGGCTGAATGTCAAGACTCAGGAAGAATTGTCCAGTGTCCCATCATAAAATGGCGCAGTGGTTGAGTTTGTAGTGAGTAGTCATAGTTGAATTTATACAACCAAAGCCCCCATTTGATTGTACTCTTGCCAAAATGTAATGGACTTAAAATGAGCCTGGGTTATAAGCAATAATCTCCATTAGTGTTTTATCAGCTACTGTGACCAACTGGCTGGTTCATTTGGTTGATGCTGATTATGGCCTTTAACCATGGTGGTTTGTTTTGTGTTTTTTATTTCACAAAAAGCCAATAAAATGTTTAGTTATCAAATGTCTCCAGTTTTGTTCTGTTTGGCGGCGGTGGTGGTTTACTTTTTAAAGGTTTCCCTCGTCTCACGTATGTCATTTGAATAGCTTCTTGATAACTACTAACATTTTAAAGGTGTTGGACCATGAGGCTTGTGTGTGCTCCAGTAACAAGGCGGTTGGAATGAATTTTCTCTCTGTTTTCAATATTGTGAGCAGATGTAATTCAAGTGCCGTGATGCAAACGAGGTATCTGCCCTTTACGCTTAGCTAATATGGTTACATCACTAGATGTGGTGCAGCTTGGAGGGAAAAGAAATCTCTACCTAAATGGGACCTCCACCTGGACGGGTGGGGTATCACCTGAGCTTGAACAGTTCTGCGTGCAGTAACACGAATGAAAAGTCCGAATTGGTGGGTTCAAGATGATGTTTCCTTCCAAAGCAGAACCTGCAAACGGCCTCTGAGAAATCGCTAACCAACTCCTAGATGTGTGCCCACGCTCAGAGGGCAAAGGGGTCACCCATGAGTTCTCATTGGGAGATTTTCTGCAGATCAGGTTTGGGAATTGAACGGTCTTGATCAGGAGAGCTTTTACATAGGCATACCCCCTGGAGTCTTACTATAGAAAGTCTCTGTTTAACTTTCTTCTGAGGCAATGCCTAGTATGTTATCAGAAAGTTCAACATCCCTATATTGGAATTTGGGGAACCACAAATCCTGCTGGTCTAGAGAAAGTATTTCTAATTAGAAGGCACGGGACCTTCAAAGGCCAAAATCTAATGTTCTTTTTTTTTTTTTTCACTTCTGCTTCCTTCATATAGGGGCCGAATCACAGTTTCTCATCTCAGTGGCATTGCCTACGTAGAATGAATGACACTAGTCAGAGGGAGAGACAATATGAGTCCTGTGATAAGAAACTTTTGACGGCAGAATTTCTGAAATGAACACTTATGTGCAGACTGAAACTCTGCTATATATTTTACCCAAACCGTACAGCCAAACTGAATACAAGTGGGAGGGGTGGGGGGAGACCCTAATTGAATACTAGTGGATAAGTGATGACAATTAATCTTTTCTACAAAAATGTGACATACACTGTACCATTCAGTACTATAGCAAAGTTTTCCCCCGTGTATTATAAAACTGACACAGACTAAGATCAGGTTGGATTATCAGGATTTATCCAAATGTCTCAAGAGCTAAAAGCTAACTGTAAATGACTTTACCTTTCACTTTCAAATCTGAAAAAAATCTTATTTATATTGTCTATAAAATTTGGTTTACAAAAGTAAAAAAAAAACATTTTTTTAAACTTTGTTTTCATCAGATTTGGGGGGTTTCATATTAAAGACTGCTTTTTTTTAATGTGACAAAAAGTAATGGCAGTGAGTATGTGTGTGCACACACGTGTGTATTTGTAAGCAATTAAGGAGCAGCGTAGTGTAGGATCAAAAGAGGTCAAGAACAAAGTTTAAAACAGTAAATAAGTAAGGAGAGGGAAGGTCAATCAAAGCCATAGGAGTTGAGTTCAGTCCTCTGAGACATGGATGCACTCTTTTCTCAGAACTTACTGCCATTGAATCGGCAATCAAAGGACACCGTGGAACCGCCCCGTGGGTTTCCAAGGCTGTAACTCTTTGTGGGCGTGGAAAGCCCTGTCTCTCGCCCTCAGAGCAGCTGGTGGTTTCAAACTGCTGATTGCTGTTCACCCCACATGAAACCACTACACCACCAGGCCTCCTTTACAAAGTGCTACTACTTCCTGGTATTGTTCCATAACTCCTGATTTCATTTTGTTTCTGATGAAGCCTTTGCTCTCTTGAATTCACATTAAAATGCAGGTCATTTACACACCATGAAAGATCGAGATTTTCCCGGCTATCAAAAAGTATAGCGTCTGGGGTCTTAAAGGCTTGAAGGTAA